CACTTTTCATATAACACGTTCCTGTTGTATGCAATACAGGCGGCATAACCATGTCATTGTAGAGACAATTTCTTCATACCCAGCTCCTTAGCCTTTCACCTTTATTACTGTTTTATCTTTCCTATCTCTCCTATAATATATAACTATTCAGCACATTCCTTGATATATAGGACACTAAATTAATAAAAGGCTGTGAACTCCAATACCTCCTCTTTTTTTTCGGGGGGGGGGGGGGGATCGTCTTCCTTACTTGCAATTTAAGCTCTTATTCTCCCTAACATACATTCTTATCTTCTACTCTCGCACATTCTCCCAAATAGGTACACAAATCACCGTAGTTTTTTGTTACCCGCAAAGAGAAAATATGTGCCTCTCAAGCCTTCTTGGCATCATCTTTCTTCATCTTAAACAGGGGTTCCAAACAAGGAGCCCCCCCCCCACCCCACCCAACCCCGGCATCATCTTAAACAGGGGTTCCAAACAAGGAGCCACCCCCCCCCCATCCCCCTGGTTGCGTGAAGAGGATTAAAGGAGGTCGCGAAGTCTTCTGCTCAAGAACTTTACATTTCAAAATTATGATACCTCGATATTATGTATAGGCAATGCCTTTATGGAACTGTGGATGTATTGGTTTTGAGTTCTTGACTGGAATAAGTACCAATCACATTTCAACATGTTAGAACTCGAAATGTTATGTACGTGTTATATCTAAACTTTTATATTATGAAACTGCATATCAGGTTATCAGTGGTTTGTTTCAATCTCGTATTTCCAAATATTATATGCCACGCAGGTTGTTATAGAATATAGTTCGGGAACCACTAATCAGCTCTAAGAATACCTATATCCTTCTTTCAAACGTTCATTCTAATTCTATTTTTGTGGATTCGTAAGAAAACATTTATGTACATTAACAAACCCAACTCTCAGGATCATTTCATCCGTTTTCAGTCTTGCCTAATGGCAGGGATTGCAGAGCAGATACTGTTTCTCCAATCTGTCTATGGAGTCCAAAGATGAGAGGGACAGGAGCTGGTGTGGAGATGAGGCGATGAATTACAACTCTACATTTCTACGACCTCCTGTTGGTCTGAGATCCCCTGTAGATTTTCATGAGACTCAAAAGCAGTTTGTTGAGTATAGCCTTTAGGAGGCACTAAAAGGCTCTTCACCAAAGTCGCCCGGTAAATGGTGTGTTCACTGTAGTATTGCTTTGTGAAATGTCTTAACACATAGATGGCTCAATTAGAAGTTAATTAGAAGACCTTTTAGCCCTCCCCCCCTGATTTTACCTTTCCTTGTTTGCTTTTTTTTTCTTCTTTTTATTACTTATGCAATTAATTTCGATATTGATATTTTTAGTAAAAACTTTATAATTACTCGTGTTATTGACATTACAAAGATACAATATTAGATTCCAGAAAATATTTTCAAAAATCAATGAAACGTGTAAACAGGTGAGATAGGTGGTATTCGTAATTGGCTCATTTGTGACTTGTGGAGCCAATTATGTATTAAAGAAAAAAAATAGTAATAAAATAAAATAAAATCCCGATGGTCATAGCCCGGTTTGAGATTATGAAGAGCGTCTGTACTGGTAGGTAAAATGAACAATAATGTCCCTTCATTGCATAAATCTAGCAAGCACTGGGTTAAGTTCTTGAAACACATAAATAATAATAACAATAATCGTGATAATAATGATGAAACTAATAATAATAATGGTTATGTTAACAATTAAAATAATAGTAATGATAATGAACATGAAAGTAATATTAATAAAAATCAATAGTAGATATGATGATGATTATAATGACAATGGTAACATCATAACATAATACTCTCTATTACAATAATAAAGATAATAACATTTAAAACAAAATAATAATTATTACAATAGTATCAGTTAAAATAATATTCATACTAGCTAGAAAGTACTCATAAAACTAGAACCTCCGCAACTAGCCAAACCATCTTGTTCCACAGCAAATATATACTATTACCTATAAAGGAATGTGAATATCTGCAGTCCTAGTTTGCATGAGATTATATAAACAACGAATCGTCTAATTTCATTATAACCCTAACACGGAACCGGATCCATTATTAGATCACCAAGTTCCAGGTTCATGGACAACACTTCATCAAAATCAGCAAATAATCTTGCTGACAAACCAACACTTACCAACGAATACATCTCATTCTAAAATAGTTTGTATTGGTAAAATGCGAGGAACGGGGTGGTAACACTTATCAGATATGTGGTAATGGTAATCGTTATTGTGAAGAGAGAAAACAAATACGAATAAAAATCGAGAGAAAGAAAGAGAAAGGTGAGATAAAGAAGGATCGACAGAGAAACAAAATAATGATTATAAAGACCAAC